TTAGATTAAGCCTTTAAATAAGGGTTTATTAATTTTAATCCCTAAATTTTTGAGGATATTTAAGTTGGTCCTTGCCTTAGCCCGAGGTTCCAAATTAATTATCAGATTCAATAAATTATTAAAATTGGTTAAGTGTAATATTATAGCATTCACCTTAGGTTTAATTTCACCTTAGTCCATTTAATTTAGGTGAATTTTTAATTTGGTCCTCGTCTTTATGCCTAAGGTTCCACTTTAATTATATGATTCAATAAATTGATAAAATTAGTTAAGTTTAATATTAAAGTCTTTACGTTAGATTTAATTTCACCTTTAGTCACTTAATTTAGGTGAATTTTTAATTTGGTCCTCGATTTATGCCTGAGGTTCCATTTTGATTATTCAATTCAATAAAATGGTTAAATTTTTTATTAGGTTTTAATATTAGAGCCTCCACTTTAGATTAATTTCATATGTAGTTCCTTAATTTAGGTGAATATTCAAAATGGTCCCTGTCATAGCTTGGGGTTCCAAATTGATTATTCGATTCAATAAATTGTTAAATGTGGTTAGGTTTTAATATTAGATCCTTCATCTTAGTTTTCATTTTACTTTAGTCCTTTAATTTAGGTGAATATTCAAAATGGTCTCTATTATTTCTTGGGGTTCCAAATGGATTATTCAATTCAATGAAATTTGTAAAATTTGTTAGATTTTAATATTAAAGCCAACATTTTAGGTTTAGCCCTTTTAAGTTATTTAAAATTCATAATTTGACACTCTAGTTAGAGGGAAGTCTTAAGTAACTCACCTAGTATAATTAGATTTAATAATAATTTGTTTGACTGCACATTTTGATTTCAAAATAAAGCAATGTTCATTTGTTTTAGGGGGTTAATAATGTATCTTTCGCTTTTACTCGGAGTGATCGTTATTAATTCTCGAAATAAATCAACATCCTTTTCAAAATCATGCATCATGATTTTGAAATTAATAAGATAATGTTTATTTATTAGGATTAATAATGAAACTTCTGCTTATGCTTGAGGGTAATTGTTATTAGTCCTAATAAATTGATACTCATTTTAAATTTTCATACATAGTGGATCGTAGATTAAATAAAATTTCAAACTCAAAATTTCAACTTTAAAACAAATGGTAATCGACCAGGTATCAATTTTTGGACGCTTTGGGAGTGCTAATCATTCAGCACCCGTAATTGACTCGCAAACTTGATTTTTGTTTTCACAGACCAAAATATCATTATTTTAATAAAATAAAATGATTTATTAAAATTACTCAATTTTTGGTGTTCCAATCTCACCTTATAAATGATTGGTGATGACTCTCATATTTTTACAAACATTTTCATAAAACATCGTCAAGCTCGGCCCTAAAAGTTGTTACGACAATAACCAAATTAAGCATATATGTGTAAAATCAACATTTCATAACACATTCGTGATATTAACATAAATTTATAGAATTAATTATTCCATTTAATCTTAATAAATATGAATTAGTCATGTTTCAAGTTTTGTCGAAATCAGAATTCAATTAAGCATTTAATTGCACGAACAATCATTTTAAGGACTAAATTTAAATATTGGAGATTTATTGGATCATTTTGAATTATAATCAATTTGATAGAATGTATAAGTTTTAAGAGAAAAATTTATTATATTATGTCACATCACCAATTTTGTTAAGTCAACAGTCAAATCAAACAACAGATGATCAAAACAGTAACAAAATGTAACGTTAGATATGATGTTTTTAAAAATTATTGTTAGATTATCAAAATAAAATTACAAGAATAAGCGAATGCACAAATAAGTAATTTACTATAATGATAATAATAGCAACTTGGTCGATATCATCTAACATTATGGCCACAATATGATCGGAAAAAGGATCTAGGTAGCATTAGGTTTATTAAGGACAACAATGCTGTTCTTTTAGTGAAAGATCATGATATTAGGAGGGTTTGGGGTAGTTACTTCTTTGGCTTATTTAATGACGGTGCCTCTCCCTGTAGAGATAGTACAGTTGATGGGTCAGCCGACCATTATACTATGGCTAATACTGTCCTACAAGTAGGATTGGGATTGAGGAAGTCAAAATGGCTCTTAGAAAGATGGGGAGGGACAAAGCTGTCAGTCCAAATCAAATTCCTATCATTGTGTGGTTGGTCCTAGGAGAAGATGGAGTTAAGTGGTTGACCAATATATTCAATATTATTTTAGAGACTGCCAAGATGCCAGAGGAGTGGAGAGAGTCTACGGTGATACCAATCTATAAGAATAAAGGAAATCCCCAACGTTGTGGTAACTACAGAGGTATTAAACTACTCAGTCATACCATGAAGCTATGGGAAAGGGTGCTAGAGGCTATGTTGAGACAGATTACTAGGGTTTCAGAAAACCAATTTGGCTTTATGCCAGGCAGGACTACTACGGAGGCGATTCATCTACTTCGATGGCTTATGGAGAAATATAGGGAAAAAATAGAAATCTTCACATGGCGTTCATTGACCTTGAGAAGGCGTATGGTAGCGTTCCCCGCGATACGATCTGGAAGACTTTGGAAATGAGACGGATCCCAACTACTTTTATTCGGGCAATTTGTGATATGTACTATAGATCTACTACATACGTCAGGACTATAGTTGACGACACCGAGGTTTTCCCGGTGGAAATTGGACTCCACCAGGGGTCGGCTCTTAGCCCTTACATCTTTGCCTTGATTATGGACGATATATATTGTGCGACACCAGACGGTGTTCCATGGTGTATGCTTTTCACTGACGACATTGTCCTAGTTGCTGAAACAAAAACTGAGCTGAATAGTAGACTGGCTACCTGGAAGACGGCTTTGGAAGAAAAAGGTCTAAGGATCAATATTGAAAAGATAGAGTATTTATGTTCAAACTTCAGTGGGAACCAAAACGATGACGATGTACAAGTATGCATCGAAGGACACGTTCTCCCCTCAAAGGATTGTTTCAAGTACTTGGGGTCTATGATACATAATGATGGGGGTGTAGATGATGACGTTACAGACCGTATAAAGGCGGGATGGCTAAAGTGGAGGGCTAAAATTGGAGTTTTGTGTGACAAGAAGGTGCCTTTAAAACTAAAGGGAAAATTTTATAGAATGGCAATAAGACCAGCGCTGCTGTATGGATCAGAATGTTGGGCAATCAAGAAGGATCACGTAAGGAGGATGAAGGTCGTAGAAATGAGAATGCTTCGATGGGTATGTGGTAGGACTCTGTGGGACATGACACCAAACTCTGCAATTCGGATGTCCTTGGGGGTGGTGCCTGTATCTGAAAAATTGAGGGAGGGAAGACTACGGTGATTTGGGCATATCCTTAGGCGACGGATGCGGTCAGGAGGGTAGAGTCGATTACAGTCGACGATGCCAGAAGGAGAGGATGACCAAGGAGGAAGTGGGAAGACTGCTTGAGATCTGATTTGAAGGATTTAGCTCTTACCGAGAATATGACCTCCAATAGGAAATTATGGAGACTTAAGACCAGGGTAGCCGAGTAGTGTGGGCACAACCATAGGGTGTAGCATCTCTGTCTCCTTTTAATACATTTGTAGTAATTTACATGACTTCTACTTTTAGGTTTCTGTCATTGGAATTTATAAACGCTTATAACTATGGTAGCGAAGTAGTGTTGCCTTAGTTTAGGTTTTAACCCATTTGACTTTATTCCTTCTCGTAGCTTGCTATCGCTGACTTCTGTGTATCCTTCTCTTCATGTTTCCTCTTTTTAAAATTTAGCCGGGACTTACGTTTTTGTCTATATGCAGAGATTTTTACGCAGGGATTTATTTGCAGGGATTACTTCCCATTACAGACGCGCATAAGAATATTGAATATTGAATATTGCATATGAATATTGTTCAACTATGTATTCATTTATTTATTTACACATGCATTGTATTTTATCTTTATTTTTAATTTTCTTACTGTCGGAGGTCTTCCACGGAAGCTTCTCTCAACCTGGCGTTGGGGGCAACCTACTACCCTACCCCCCTTACCCCATGGCATATGGGAATAGGGTTTTGTTGTAATATGATCGGCTATGCTATCACTATCCATAACGACAAGAGCATTTGCCTATATAAGAGGTGGTTGATTCCACCTAGTAGAAAGCTGCTCACTACCTAACAATGCATACTAGTTGAATGGGGAGCTTAATTAATTAAAAGCTTTAGTTAACTGAGTATTTTATATGTTAAATAAATTGTTATATATTTTAAATTTCTGAAATTAATTATTATATATTACATTTAAATATCAAAATATAATGATGAGGGCATAGAACAACAAGTCTAACAACATACGAGTTTGATTTTTGGCCCATCTAAACTCAATTCAAAAGGTGAAGTCCTTCACATGCATTCAATTTGATTAGGGTTTAAAAAAAGATCACACTCAATTTGAAATTTGAATTGATTTTTTAGGTCAAAAACTACACCTAATGATATGAACTAAATATGGTATATAAAAAAAATTATTTTTATTAAATAAAATAAGAAAAGATATTATTAAAATTATCCGTAAATGTATATATAATAATTATAATATTATATAAATGATATTTTTCACCCCTAGTTAATCAAAAAATGGTATTATAAAAATGATTAATATATTCCTGTAAACAAACTATCAAAATAAATATCATCCCTACTAATAGGGGTTGCTTTAAATGGTAAGCAGCTTGATATCGTTTAAATAAGGTCTAGAATTTAAGTCTTTGTGCATGCAGAAAATCCCTATTGGGAGACTCACCCACCAAAATCAAGTATGTAGCGCAGGTTAATCCGGATTAAACAATACAAAACCTTAAAACCGGGATGACGACAAAAAAATTACCATCCCTCTCATAATATAAAAAAGTAAGCCTAAAGAGTAGAAAAATATTCCTCAAACCTAACATTTCGCATGTCACAGTCTCACGTCCAAACAAAAGACAGACTGAATTGTTGATAGATCAAATAGTTAAATTCAATATACAGGTGAGCTTTCTGTGTCATGACTGGATTTTCAAGTTTGATAGGGTTTTGCCTCTCTGTCAAGTTTACGGCCCCATATACAAATTAGAAGAGCTGCCATGCCCATGACCACAAAATTGCCACAATGATGCCGACGGCTCCCGCGATGGGGTGTGATACCCCACTCTCGTCGAATAAGCCGTCGTACACGATTGTGGTGTTGCTAAGAGGTGACGATGGCATCGTGGTTGTTGTTCCCGTGTCTTCTCCTTGAGTTGTCGTCGTTGTTGCCGTGTTTTCTCCTTGGGTTGTCGGCTCTTGCGATGATTTCTGGCTGCAATTTACATGCCACCAAAACTAACCGTTAAAAAAGATATTATTTGTGGCACAGACTAGAGATTGATGCACTAAATTCAGCTGATCTTCAAGTGACGTTTATTAATTAGACACCTAATTAATCTTGTTTTTCTTGTCAGAACGCTTAAAAGGACCGTTCAACCATCAACCTACCTAGATTTTTTAAGAAATGGGATTTCTTGGGTAAACTTCATATTTAATACCTCAATTATTACTCTTATTTTCATTTTGGTCATCTAACTATTTTTTGTTTCAAAATCATATCTAGCATTATGTTTTAGTTTCATTTTGGTCACATACTATTAAAATATTAATAGTTATATTAATGTATCATCATAAAATAATTATACACCATCAGTGAATTTTTTTTAAAAACATTAATTCTTTAACAGTGGGTGACAGAATAAAACAAAAACATAACATTAGGTATGATTTAAAATTAATTATAATTTGATTATCAAAACGGAATAAAACTAATAATAGTTGATTAAATGCATAGTTTTCCCCATTTTCATTAGCCTTTGACACTACCCTCAACGGTAAGACGTGCCAGTTATTCTTTCTGGGCCACGTGAAACGTTGTGCTGAACTGACAAGACCGTTCACGCCCACGTTTTTATTAATTAAAAATAGGTATAATATCAAACTAAACCTCTAAAATATATCAAAATAATCATTTTGATCTTTGTTTTTTTTTTCAAATATTTTGACACTAACATTTTATTTTAAGATAAAAATACCACTACTATTTTGATCAAATGTTCATTTTGATTTTGATTATTCTTTTTAGAATATTTTGACCATCAATGTTTTATTTAGGATAAAGAAAATATATTACGAAGCATTAATTAAATGTTAACTAATTATATTCATTTATAGAAGAATTTCTTTATCTTAAAATAAAATATAGGTAGTTGAAATGTTTCAAAAAAATAAACACTAAAACAAAATAATCATTTTTGATAAATATTGAGACCTAATTTTGAAATTATCCCAAAATATATATTGATATGTTGTTCTAATATTAACAGTGTCGATAAACGAAATTTACCTGGTGTTGGGAGAAGGACAGAAAGTAATGGTGTAATCGGCGTTGGCACATGTGAAGGTGCTAGTTTTATCATCATACGCATAGCTGTAGGCGCGTGGGCAAGCCGTCTTAAACACTCGGGAGTAGGAAGAAGGCTTGCAAGTATCGGGTGTGGCATACGCGCCGCTGCAACAGTACTGAGGCTGGCGGAAGGCGTCGCAAGCACTCCTGCACGCGACGCCACCCCTTCCGTCGGTGGTGTCCGTCACCCTGAGCTCCGAAGGACACGAGCCATTGAGATCCACAACGCAGCCGGTGCTGCTACAATTTTGACCTTTGCCACCCTCAGGAACCACCAACATAGGCACGTTGTAGCCGTCCACCAAGCTGACGTCGAAAAAGTCAAACCCACCGGCACCATCCAGAGTAAATTCAGCTAAAGTGGCAGGCGGAGCAGCCCCGTTCCCGGAACATTCGAGATTCCCGGAGCCACAGTCTCCGGTCAGACATGAAAATTTTCCGGTGGAGTCTTCTAAGCAATGGGTTCTACCCCAAAAGCGACCGCCCCATGATGGCGGTGCGGTGATGGTTTTGGTTTCGCCTCTTTGGAGAGTGAAACCTGTTGTGGGAAGCGTTGGAACACCGGCGTTTGAGAGAATTCCAGGCCATACGACGTAATTGCAGTTGTTTACTATGGTAAAGGTTGTTGCTTTAGTGCCTGAGATGAACAAATGTGACAGAATAACAACAGAAATTGCCACAATTAATGTAGGTTGAGCCATTGAGAATTTGTTGTGGACAGACAAAATTCAGAGAAGTTTGGTGAGAATATGCAATGGCGATAGAGAAGTAATTTATAAGGAGAAATTGAGCTTTAGAGAGAAACTTCAGAGACAGATGAATGATGGGCCAATTAAGTAGAAGTTACTATTGGACACTCTGTTTAATATTATGTAAATATTAAAAATTATTAGGATTTATCTAAAATTAATAATTAATTTAAATTTAAATTTACTTTTAATAAAATTATAATTAAATTATGATTTTTTTATTAAAAATAATAATTATTTAAGTAATTTAATTTGTAAATTATTTACGTTAAGAATTACCATCAACATCACAGTATGAGATCTTAACTCTTCGAAAAACTCATCGAAAAACTTACGGAAAAATATTATATTACAAATCTCAAGTTGTTGTTTGTCGTTGCTCGATTCATCATTGCCCAACAATCGTCCAGCAATCACCCAGGAGAAGCTCAACAGAAAAGTCAATCGGCGCTCCTCTTTGTTTCCATTGATTTGCAAGAAGGTGAAAGGTGAATAATTTTGAACAGTAAAACCCTCTATTTGTGTTTTATTTCGAATGATTAAATTGTATGAAAATCCCCATAGTTTCTCCTATTTATATTTTAGACAAATGTAATGGCTAAAATTACATGTCAGCCCCTTTTTGTGTTTTATTTCATGGTTAAATTGCATGGAAACCCCATAGTTTCTCCTATTTTATATTTTAGACAAACGTATGCTTCTGTTTTAATAGAGCTGGCTAAATTACAGAACCTCATACTTTTTTTTGAGGTCAAATTGCATGCAAACCCCCTCACTTTCCCCTGTTTATATTTTACACCTCTAGGTTTTAAATTTTCTATAATTTATACTTTATTTTTTATTTTGATAATTAATTTCGAATTTACTCTTTGATTTTAATTAACAATATTATTAATACTTTATTTTATTCATTATTTTTATTACATTAATTTCATATAATTGTATATTATTTATTATCATTTATCTCAATAATTTGATACTTAATTTTATTTGATATTAATTGTGATTATTTGAACATGACAATATTACTTTTGATACGTAAATTTTAATATTGATCATTAATTTGAATTTTGATGTTAAATTTTATTATCATGAATAACAAGTTAAAATTAAGCATCAAAAATTAAGATTAATGATCAATATTAAAAATTTACGTATCAAAATTAATATTATCAAAATTAAAATGATATAATATTAAAATTTACCTATCAAAAATTAATATTATCATGATTCAAATAATCACAATTAATATCAAGTAAAATTAAGTATCGAATTGTTAAGATTAATGATAACAAATAATATAAAATGATATGAAATTAATGCTAATAAAAAATAATGAATAAAATAAAGTATAAATAATATTTTCAATTAAAATCAAAGAGTAAATTCGAAATTAATTATCAAAAAAACAAAAGTACAAATTGTAAAAGATTCAAAACCTAGAAGTGTAAAATCCAAACAGGGGAAAGTGAGGGGGTTTGCATGCAATTTGACAATTAAAACTGTGTAATTTAGACATGTCTATTAAAACATAAACATACTTTTGTCTAAAATATAAATGGGAGAAACTATGGGGGTTTTCATACAATTTAACTATTCGAAATAAAACACAAATAGGGGCTGACATACAATTTTACCATTCAAAATTAAAACTCAGCTTTCACCTTTGTGCAAATCAGTGAAAACAGAGAGGAGCACCGACTGACTTTCCTACAAAGCTTCTCCTCGGCGCCGATTGCTAGGCGAGGGTGAACTGGGCGACAGAAAACGATAAAGTTGGATTTGTAATATAATATTTTCCGACGATTTTTTTAGCGATTTAAGGTCTCCAACTGTTATTACTGTAGATGGTTATTCTTAACTTAAATTATTTACAAATCCTAATTCTAGACAAATTAAATTACTTAAATTATTTATTATTTTTAATAAAAAAATCATTATTTAATTATAATTATATTAAAAGTAAAATTAAATTTTAATTAATGATTCATTTTAGATAAAATTATATTTTTTAATATTTACATAATAAGGATAAATTTGTTTGCGGTGTGTTTCAGTACGTCACTTTAGTGGTACGTTACGATATGCGACGTGCTCTATAGACTATTTAGTATATGAACTATCACTTTTGTTTTATCTTAGTTATTTAGCTTTTTTTATTTCAAAATCATATCTAATGTTACGTTTTCGGTTTTTTTTGGATCAAACGGTCAACTGGGGGCAAAATCCCTTAAAAAATTTAAATTATCATATTATATATATATATATTTTTATATTTTCTATTGATAATCTGTTTTCGTCCTCATAGAATTTTACAAGTTCATCCCCTCCTAAAATTTTAGAAATTCGTCTAAAACATAAAATCATACATTCGCCCTGGTATCCTTGTCTCACTATATGTATCAAATAGAAATTCATTATATTGATGTGAACAATGTAAGGTTTTATTGTGAACACATGGAATTATACCCATAAATATATGTATTTCTGTTTTAGCGGACCAAGTAATCTTTATTCTTGATGCATAGTCGTTCAACCAATTTTCTCTTTTAATAGAACAAGTACGTTGTAAATTATATAACCATCCAACGAAACAGTTAGAAAGTCTACCACTCAATGTGGATGCCTCCGTGATTCCAAGTTTTTAACAAATGGATGAATAAATGAAATACGTGCATAAGGTGGAATCGCTGCTAGATCTAATAAGTAAATAAGAAAACTAGACTGAAAGATAACTATATCAAAGTAGGTTTTTAACGGTGTTTTTTAGTTTTATAACAACGTCTTTAGGCGTTGTCTCGGTGCTAGCAAGAGCATCGCAAGAAGTTTCATTAAATTGAACACTATAATAATTAGTGGCGTTTGTAAACATAAAACCCCATAAAAAGTCAAAATATATAACGGCCAGGGCCGGCCCTGAGCATAGGTCAGGGGTGCGACCTGTCACGGACTTAATATCTCAACAAGCCTCGTGCGACCTTAGCTCCTTTTCGCCCCTTGCGATAGCTAAGTTAGACTCACTCAAACTCGTGCTAGTGTGGGAAAGGATTGACAAGGAAACAAAGAAGAAAGGAAAGAACTTTGAAAGAAAGCTTGTTGATATGCTTGAAAGCTTACAACTCTTGGATGATTTACAAATGAGGATTCTACACCTATTTATAGCATCCCACCTCCTCAATGGACGGTGGAGATTGACTTGATCCTACGGTAGGGAGAGATTCTCTAGAATTATCCATAATTTCCTACCTAACATGGAAGGCTCTAGAATGCTTCTAGAATATGTACAAGTCTTGAGTGTTCTAGAATAATCTACACTATTCTATCAACCTCCAAGACCAAATGTGGCCCAACATAGCCAAAATAGCCCAAAGTGTGGGGAAAAAGCCCAAGTTAGTGACATCCTCCCCCACCTATTTCGGCGTCGTCCTCGTTGCCTCGTACACTTTAAGATGTTCTTCAAACTGCCACAAGTCTTCAGCTAGTTCCCATGTTGCCTCGGACTCTGGTAGTTCTTTCCACTTGATTAAATATTCGGTACGCAGTGGGACTCCTCTCTTGCGGACCGTCCTGCTTGTGAGCACCGTTTCAACCTCTTTGTCGTAAGACTTGGTTACTAAGGGAGGTGCTCGATGTGAATACCCTCGGCTTGGGTCTTCCTTGTCGGTATGATATGGCTTGAGCATACTTACATAGAAGACCGGATGAATCTTAAATGTACTTGGCAAGTCTAAGCGATAAGACACTTTACCCACCTTCGCAAGTACTTGGAACGGTACCTTGTATCTCCGTATTAGTCCTTTGTGAACGCTTCAGAGGGCTTTGAATTGTTGTGGCAAAAGCTTCACAAGAACTAAGTCTCCAACGGAGAACTCTCGATGTCGCCTCTTCTCGTCCTCCCACTTCTTCATCTTCTTCCTCGCTTTCTCTAAACATGCGCGGGTGATGTCATCGTTCTCTTCCCATGATTTAGCCATCTTGGCAGCTCCGAGACTTTTGCCCTCGTCAAGTGGCATTGTCAATGTGTGCGGTGTGAGCGGTTGTTGTCCGGTCGTAAGCTCGAACGGACTTCGGCTTGTGGCTTCACTCCGTTGAAGGTTATAAGAGAATTGGGCGACGTCTAGCAACTTTGCCCAATCTCGCTGGTTGGCACTCACAAAGTGCCGTAAATAACACTCCAACAAAGCGTTCACCCGTTCGGTTCACCCATCAGTTTGAGGGTGAAAGCTTGTGGAGAAATTTAACCCGGTGCCAAGGAGCTTGAATAATTCCGTCCATAGGCGTCCGGTGAATCGAGGGTCTCGATCGCTGATGATGTTCCTTGGTAAGCCTCAATGCTTCACAACGTTCTTGAAGAATGCTCGTGCGGCCTCCTCCGCAGTGTAATCCTTGGGGCATGGTATGAAAGTCCCATACTTGGAAAATCGATCCAAGACAACCATGATCGAACTGTATCCCTCGGACTTGGGTAATGAACTAATGAAATCCAAAGTGATCGAATCCCAAGGTCTTTGGGGAACTGGTAAAGGTTCGAGTAATCCTGCTGGCTAACGGTTCTCCACTTTGTCTTGTTAGCACACAAGACAAGTCTTCATGTAAAGCTCCACGCTATCCTTCATATGGGGCCAAAAGTATGTTGTCTCTAGCAATGCCATAGTGCGCTTTTGACCTAGATGACCATCCCACTTGGTGTCATGGCACTCTTTGATAAGATCTCGCCTTAAGTTGTCCCACTTTGGGACATATAATCGTCGTCCCTTGGTGTAGAGTAGACCGTCGCTCCAACACGGTTCCCTTGGCTAGAGAGATTGTGGCGAGCTCCGCCTTTCGACTTAAGGCATCGGCTACAACGTTGGCTTTACCCGGCTTGTATTTCAACGTATAGTCGAACTCGGTTAGGAAGTCTTGCCACCTGGCTTGTTTCGGTGACAGCTTCTTTGGGTTTGAAAGTAACTCATCGCCACATTGTCAGTCTTGATGGTGAAGTGTGCACCAAGTAAGTAAT